ACAGTGCTCCATGCAGTCATGCCAGCCACGTGACCTTGAAGGCATCTATGGACAACGGCAGCTCTTTGGCTTAGAAATGGAGATGAGCACCAACCCCCAGAGTCAGACACAACTGGACTTAATGTCAGGGGAAAACCTACATGGAAGTTGGATGTGGCCCTTGTGACCTCTTCCAACTCTATGAGCTTTGGGGAACATTGTAAACACCCATATGGTTGCCTTCAAAGAGGTATTAATAATACACTTTAATAATAATACACTTTATTTATATCCCACCACCATCTCCCCAAAGGGACTCAGGGCAACTTACAACGCACTCCAGGGCACACATACAACAGGTAAAAACGGTACAAAAGTATAAAACAAGTCACATAACATTATAGCAACAACCCCCGTCAACACATGTAGCATAAAATCAGAATAATACAATTTTAAAACAACAGATCAAACTAACTGCTGTCAATTCACAAGGTGCCAAGTGTCAGCTTCATATGGGCCCATTCAGCCTACTCAAGGTCAAAGGCTTGTCTGAACATTCATGTTTTTATGTTGGAATGGAAGTATTAAAAGGTGGGGGATGATCTAATCTCTTTTGGGAGGGTATTCCAGACCAGGGGGGCCACCACATAGAAGGCCCTCTTTCTTGTCCCCACCAACCACGCTTGAGACAGTGGTGGGACCGAGAGGAGGGCCTCCCCTGTGAATCTCAGAGCCCGTGCCAGTTCGTAGAAAGAGATGCGGTCTCGAAGATAGGTTGGACCTGAAGCGTATAGGGCTTTATAGGTTACCTGTGTGAGGATTTGAAAAAGGACGCCATGATGTAATGGGTTAACTGGAAAGACGTATGGCCAGCTGATTGGCTGAGCATGCCAGAAGACAGAGTTCTGATTGGCTGCTCTCTCTGGCTTGCTGCTGAGACCAATGGTTCCAACTGTCACTTTTTTTGGATAGTGAAGAGAGTGCTGGCTGCCAACTATCTTAAAGGCATAAGGCATGTTTTAAAGACTATTTAAAAGGACAGTTTTATTCCCTATATTCTCTGTGAATTCAAAAGGACTGTATATATTGCCCTGTTTTTGAACTGAATTAAAGATGCTGTTACTTGTTACACAAGCCTGAGTGACATTTTATTATACTGCAGGGTATATCTTGGTTTAAATACTATGGTAAAGCTTGTGTTTATTTACATTTACCAACCCTCACAACCTGCACTGTGAATTTGGAGCTGCTTCAGCACGGGCCTGGTATGTTCCCTGCAGCTAGCTCCAGTTAGTAATCTGGCAGCTGACCTTTGCAGTTTCCAAACCGTCTTCAAAGGCAGCCCCACGTAGAGTGCATTACAGTAGTCCATTCTGGATGTAACTAAGGCGTGGCCCACTATAGCCAAGTCAAATCCATGGACGAAGAAATATTTGGATACAAAGGGCCATGAAGAATGAATGTGGTTTGACACTTTAATTGCCATGACTCAGTGCTATGGATTCCTGGGAGATATAGTTTCACAAGGCCTTGAGCCTTTTCCGATATCTTCTTATTCTTCTTCTTCAGCGATCCCTCATTGGATGAGGTTAATCTTCCATGATCGGTATTCTTGTGGATCCGTAGGTGGCTGTGGGGCCCTATTCTTGACCTGCATCTTCTCCCACAGTGAGCACATTGGTTTCCAGGTGGAAGGCGGTCTTGCGATCCCTCTTTGGACGAGGATAATCTTCCATGATCTGTATTCTCGTGGATCCGTAGGTGGCTGTGGGGCCCTATTCTTGACCTGCATCTTCTCCCACAGTGAGCACACTGGTTTCCAAGTGGAAGACGGTCGTGCCTTCCTCCTGGCACGTTTCTCTTTCACCCTCCATTCGTGCCTCTTCAAATTCTGCAGCACTGCTGGTCACAGCTGACCTCTAGCTAAAATGCGCAAAGGCCAAGGCTTCCCAGTTCTCAGTGTCTATGCCAGGGATTTTAAGGTTGGCTTTGAGCCCATCTTTAAATCTCTTTTCCTGCCCACTAATAAAGAGCATCACCACTACAGCCACAATGCTATCAAACTATATTTATTCTGCATCTCCTGTAGTGCCTCTCCCCATTTTATACCAGACTGGGACTGTACCATTTTAAACTATAAAGGGGGGGTCACTGCATTTATAGCCTAAAAGCTCCCTGAAGGGAATAAAACTCGATCGAATAGGTCCACGAAACCCTTTTTATCCACGAGGTTCCTTGATACATGAGTGTGTAGGTAAAGAATTCATAACACGGCAGGAAATAGCAGAATCTTGTTTCCCTCCCCCCTTTCGGCTGACATGGTACAGTCCCACATGTCTTTTGTGCTGGAACGGCAACGAAGCCTTCCTTTGAAGGGAAGAAAATGGCGGTCGAAAGGGGGCGGAGCTACTTGAAGCCCCGCCTCTTTCTGGCGGCCATTTTCTCCCTTTGTATCCAGGCAACGTGGTCAAACACATACTGCTCTCTTTCAATGTATTGGCTAGGCCTTTTCCCCCTTCTCTTTTAGTTATAGAATCATAGAATCAAAGAGTTGGAAGAGACCTCATGGGCCATCCAGTCCAACCCCCTGCCAAGAAGCAGGAACATTGCATTCAAATCACCCCTGACAGAGGGCCATCCAGCCCCTGTTTAAAAGCTCCCAAAGAAGGAGTCTCCACCACACTACGGGGCAGAGAGTCCCACTGCTGAACAGCAGTTGGGACAAATGAGTAGAAGAGAAAGATTGGAGAAATGTTTCAGGGCTGGGACATTTCTTCTTCCCTTTCTTCTCCCTTCAGTGCCTCTGAGCATGTACAAAGTGCAATATATATATATACACACACACACACACAAGCCATCCCCTGCCACGCATTGCTGTGGCCCACTCTGTGTATATGTGTTTGTGTGTGTATATATGCATATATGTGTGTATATATATTTGTGAATATGTGTATATATGTGTGTTTGTTTATATATGTGGTTTTGCACATGTGCTGTAATTTATTTTTGGGTTTTTTTGGCTTTTAAAGTCTCTTCTGCTGTGTTTTTCAGTGTTTTTATGAGGGTTTTTTGGTCGTGTCGGGAGTGACTCCTGGTGTGAGAGAATTGGCCGTCTGCAAGGACATTGCCCAGGGGACGCCCAGATGATTTTGATGTTTTTATCATCCTTGTGGGAGGCTTCTCTCACGTCCCTGCATGAGGAGCTGGAGCTGATAGAGGGAGCTCATCTGCCTCTCCCCGGATTCGTACCTGCGACCTGTCAGTCTTCAGTCCTGCCGGCACAGGGGTTTAACCCACTGTGCCACCAGGGGCTCCGTTTTTAGGGTTTTTATGAGTGATGGTCACTCGTTGGCCTGAGAGGTGTATTGTGTCCAAATTTGGTGTCAATTCGTCCAGTGGTTTTTGAGTTATGTTAACCTCACAAATGAACATTACATTTTTATTTATATAGATATAGATGGGATGTGTATATAGGTCTATATATGGTGTGTGTATGTGTACACACACACACACATATACACACCATATGTGTGTGTGTGTCAGAGAGAGAGAGAGAGAGAGAGATGTTCAGCAGTGGAACTCTCTGCCTCAGAGTGTGGTAGAGGCTCCTTCTTTGGAAGCTTTTAAACAGAGGCTGGATGGCCATCTGTCAGGGGTGCTTTGAGTGCAATTGTTCTGCTTCTTTGTACGGGGTTGGACTGGATGGCCTATGAGGTCTCTTCCAACTCTATGATTCTGTTTATTTTTAAATGCACTTTGTACATGCTTTGTACATGATGTGTGTATATGTATATGTGTATACACATACACACACACACCAAAATAAATGTTTTATTGTATTGTTGAAGGCTTTCACGGCCTAAATTGCTGGGGCATTGTGTGGTGTCTGGGCTGTATGGCCGCTTTCTAGCAGCATTTTCTCCTGACCTTTCGCCTGCATCTGTGGCTGGCATTTTCAGGGGATCCTCTGAAGATGCCGGCCTGTGTTTGAGGCAAGTGTGAATGTTGCAATTGCCAACTTTGATTAGCATTGAATGGCCTTGCAGCCTCAATGCCTGGCTGCTTCCTGCCCAGAGGCAGTTTGTTTGGAGGTGTTAGCTGACCCTGATTGTTTCCCGGCTGGAATTCCTGAGTGTTGCTCTTTATTTACCATTACTTTTGTATGCTCCCTTTGTTGTTATGGTTGTTTTATACAAAACACTTTGCATATATATTTAGTGTTGTTACCCTCAAAATTTGCCACCTAAAGTCATTGACCATTCTTCCTGATGGTAGGAACTGCCCTATTTCAGTCCCGTTTCTTACGTAATAAGAATCAACACTGCGTAAGACTTAGTATGTTATCTAAATATAGTATTATAAAATTCTATGCTCTCTTTGTGGATACAATTTGTTTTGCATATTCTTCTAAATCCTCATCCATATATATATTTTTATTGTGTCAGAAGTATTACCATCTTGTGGGAGGCTTCTCTCATGTCCCCGCATCAAAAGCTGGGGCTGTCAGACAGTTCACCCTGTCTGTGAATTTGAACCGCCAACCTTCAGGTCAGCAGTTCAGCCGGCACAAGGGTTAAACCATAACCCATAATAAGGTCAAGGTTTTCCCATGACATTAAGTCCAGTCATGTCTGACTCCGGGGGTCATGCTCATCTCCATTTCTAAGCTGAAGAGCCAGCATTGTCCGTAGACACTTCCAAAGTCATGTGGCCAGCATGACTTCATGGAGCATGGTTATCTTCCCGCTGGTGCAGTACCTATTGATGTACTCACATTTGTATGTTTTTGAACTACTAGGTTGGCAGAAGCTGGGGCTGACAGCGGGAGCTCATGCTGCTTCCGGATTCGAACCTGCGACCTTTTGGTCAGCAAGTTCAGCACTTTAAACCACCGGGGCTCCTTTTAACCCATAATAAATTCCCATAACAAACCAATTGTTATGATAAGAAGCCTGGGCTGGTGGAAGAACTATCTACTTTGGTTCTCCGGTGGGAGAGTGACAACACTCAACACAAACAGAAAACATAAAAACCATTTTATTTGTTGACAAGACATCTTTTCAATATGAAAAAGCTGGGTTGTTGTTTTTTAAAAAAAGATGAAGGGGAAAAGAGTGATAAAAAAGATGTAATGAGAAACACAGACAGATGGAAGGGCAGCATGAAAAAGCAAGTGTTTTAGAGGAATAGACAAATGAGTGGCCAAAAAAACCCCGAGATAACAAGCAAGAGACAGAAATAGGCAAGACAAGAGGAAGGGGACGTGAAGTCTTTGAAAACAGCACCCATTTGGGGCTGATGTAGGAACTATTGTCTTGTTCCACATTTCTTCTATGGCAAATTTTCTGTACTGCTATCTGACTGTTTTCTACTTTAGGCTGGCACATCTTTTAAGAGGCAGCTCTATAAAGTAGAGCAAAAAATAACTGGAAGGCAGAAAGTTGCTGCCATCTCTGAGCACCGATACGGTCTGGAATGAGCAGATAGAAAATGGCAAGATTCCTCTTGTTGTGTGCCTTCAAGTTATTTCTGAATTATTGCAACTATAAGGTGAACCTGTCACAATGTTTTTTTTTCTTGGTCATGTTTGCTCAGAAGAGGGTTTTTGCCCTTCCCTTCTTCTGTGGCTGCGGCAGTGTGTCTTGCTCAAGTGGGTTTCAATGGGGATTCGAACCCTGGTCTTCCAGAGTTTTTGTCCAAGCTCTCACAAGGTCAAAAGCTGCCTCCTTCGGGGCTTTTAAAAAGGCAAGATAGAGCACAAGTTTTAAATAGTAATGATTTGACACATGTTTTGGCAGTGTCGGAAGTGGCAATGTCACCACTCTTCTCCCATTCTGTTGTGAGTTCAGATTTAAGAACAGACCAAAGGTATTTAGAGGGACAGATTCAAGTGGGAAATCGAGAGTGAAAGGAGCAAAGCAGAAGACACACACCATTTCTTCTAGTTTTCAAAAGTATTCAAAACACAGCTGTTGTCTCCTGGTTCCAGTAAATCCTGGAAAGAGATAACAAATTCTGCTTCTTCTATCCTGTAAGGCAGTGGTTCTCAGCCTGTGTGTCCCCAGGTGTTTTTGGTCTACAACTTCCAGAAATCCCAGCCAGTTTACCAGCTGTTAAGGATTTCTGGGAGTTGAAGGCCAAAACATCTGGGGACCCACAGCTTGAGAACCATTGCTGTAAGGACTTTGGCTACAAACCTTAGTAACCTTCAAGTTGATCATGCCCATTATCCTATTCCTGACCAAGGATGACATACCTGACAGGTTCTGGGTTGAGAAAGGCTGATTAAAGGTCTTTACCATATCACCTTTCTATTCCATTCACAATTAAGTACTCTTACACCCTTGTTCCCTCTTTAATAGCTCATGAATCAGATGTGCGGAAAGAGCAGAATGAGTAAAGAAGCTTCTCAAGTGTTGCTGAGACAGATGAAAACTGGCAAGAGGACACAGAGGAAAAGATAGCCCAGGCCTTTCTAGATGTCAACTAAACCCTTGCTCCCATCATCCCTCACCACTGACAACAGTGGCAAAAACTTATGGAAGTTTGAAGTCCAACAAAACCTGGAGCTGCTCTTCCAGGGAACCTTTCCTCACACACTAACCCCACTTAGCTACTTCAAAACACTGATCAGTATTAAATCTGTAGCAGGTGTAAGTTACACCAAGGAATATGTACACAAGAGCTAGGGCAACCCTCACTAGGTTTTGACATGGAGACTTCCCCCGCCTGCAAAAAGAGAAGGAAGGAGACAGAACAAGCTAGAGTAAAAGGAAAAAGGAACAGAACTTGGGAGATGCAATTTTTGTTTAATTTTTATTTTGTGCGGATTTATTTATTTAACTTTTAATTCATGAAATGATAGCAGGGTTAACCTCAAGCTTCCTCCTCAGCCTCTTCGCCGAAATCTTCCTCTTCCTCAGCTGTGGCGTCCTGGTACTGCTGGTATTCGGAGACCAGGTCGTTCATGTTGCTCTCGGCCTCTGTGAACTCCATCTCGTCCATGCCCTCACCTGTGTACCAGTGGAGGAAGGCCTTGCGGCGGAACATAGCGGTGAACTGCTCGGAGATGCGCTTGAACAGCTCTTGGATAGCTGTGCTGTTGCCGATGAAGGTGACTGCCATTTTGAGACCTCGGGGAGGGATGTCGCACACGGCTGTTTTGACGTTGTTGGGGATCCATTCCACAAAGTAGCTGCTGTTCTTGTTCTGGACATTCAACATCTGCTCATCTACTTCTTTCATGGACATGCGTCCCCGGAATACAGCGGCCACAGTCAGGTAGCGCCCGTGGCGGGGGTCGCAGGCTGCCATCATGTTCTTGGCATCGAATACTTGCTGGGTCAACTCTGGTACTGTCAGGGCTCGATACTGTTGGCTGCCACGGCTGGTCAAGGGGGCAAAGCCAGGCATGAAGAAGTGGAGCCGAGGGAAGGGGACCATGTTGACCGCCAGCTTGCGGAGGTCGGCATTCAGCTGTCCAGGGAAACGGAGGCAGGTGGTCACACCGCTCATGGTGGCGGACACCAGGTGGTTCAGGTCGCCGTAGGTAGGAGTGGTAAGCTTGAGGGTCCGGAAGCAGATGTCGTAAAGGGCTTCGTTGTCAATGCAGTAGGTTTCATCTGTGTTCTCCACCAGCTGGTGCACTGAGAGGGTGGCGTTGTATGGCTCTACCACTGTGTCAGAGACCTTGGGAGATGGCACCACGCTGAAGGTGTTCATGATGCGGTCAGGGTACTCTTCCCGGATCTTGCTGATCAGTAAGGTGCCCATTCCTGAACCGGTTCCACCACCCAGAGAGTGGGTCAGCTGGAAACCTTGCAGACAGTCACAGCTCTCTGCTTCCTTCCTCACCACATCCAGGACTGAATCCACCAGCTCAGCACCTTCTGTATAATGCCCTTTGGCCCAGTTGTTACCAGCTCCACTCTGGCCTGGATGAGGCAGGAGAAGGTAAGAGAGAAACCATGAGGCTTGGGCTATTGGAACTTCCTTAGATATAATATAGTTAGCTCCCATGCTAATCATTCTCCCATTCTACTAGCCTCTTAGAGCAATGAATTGGGGGAGGGACTGACTGATGCTGCTCCCCACTTTCATGCTTTCTTAGCGGCTTCTGGGAATGAAGTCCAAACTCTGGATAGCCTCAAAGTTTCCTATTCTCATATAAGGGGACTGCCCAATATGCGCTGGGACATTCACATGGCTAAGCCCTTTCATCATGGTAGCTCATCCCATCTAAAGGGTGCAAACACAGACAATTCTGAATGTTGCAATGAATGGCTTAACAGACACCCCATAATCCAGACATTCTCACAATTTGCTGGTATTTCAGTCTCTCTTGCACACATTTTGAAGCATAACACTTCATACTTTAGCAACATTTAGCTGTTTAGGCAACCTTAGACCATTCTACCTCTTCTGTCTCACAACAGAGTTGACATAACTTGAAATGTCTTGGAAAGCAATCCTGTAAACTCCACTCTCCCCCAAAATTTAACTATATGGCAAGAAAAGAGGGTGGGGTTCCATCTTACCAAATACGAAGTTGTCTGGTCGGAAAATCTGCCCAAAAGGTCCAGACCTTACGGAGTCCATAGTTCCTGGCTCCAAATCAACCAAAATGGCACGAGGGACATACTTGCCACCTGGACAGAAGAAGGGAGCACATTGTCTCAGATGTCACATTTTGAGCAACATAAAGCCCAACCCACTCCCAATTCCCAGCCCATCAGAGATTTGGATTGTGCTCCTGCTTTTTTGAATCCATACAAGGTTTTTAACTCTCTTGAAACTGACTTTGCCAAGTCCACCCAACATTCATTTATCCAATACCACTTGGCAAAAATGTTTAAAGGAGCACAAGAATTCAACTTGTTGAGTTATCTTAGTAGTGCAGTCCCTATCCATGTACCAGTTTGATGCTGGCCTTAATCCTATCTCTTTTATCTCTTCAACAGGACAGGTTTAAATACAAAGAGATAAGATCAAGGCTCTCAAGAAGCTGGTTATGGGTTTGGTTTATGCTTGAGATATTGAGATCACTAGTTATAATCCTGGACAGTTTTCTTATTCTTTACACGTAACTACAGCTGTCTACAATCAACAATAGACAGTAACTAATTCTAGAAGTGTTAGAAGACAAAGGAAGATGGCACTGAAAAGAAGATTATTAACCTGGGCAGCAAAACTATCAAGAGGAAAACGTCAAAACAAGGAAAAGGCAAATGCTCACCAGTGGCTTCATTGTAGTAAACACTGATGCGATCAAGCTGTAGGTCACTGTCCCCATGGTAAGTCCCAGTGGGATCAATTCCATGTTCATCACTAATCACCTCCCAGAACTGCAGGGAAGGAAGAAAAACAAAAAAAAGATGATTTTATGTTAGAAAGAGAGAATGCAGAACAGACATATCTAACAGCAGCAATGTGATTTAACTGTGAGGAGACACATCTGAACTACCACGTGGTTGGCTCATGTTCCCATGGAAAGATCAGCTTCACCATAGAAGAAAATTTTGGTGTTGCAACTTCGTCCCCAAAAAGATTCTGAGAACAACTGCAAGTTTCACTTCTTTATGCTGTTTTTGTTGTAGCTCTGTGCCTTCAAGTTGTTTCCGCTCTATGGCAGCCCTACCATAGGGTTTTTTAAAAAATGTATTCAGACATTTGCCATAGACTTCCTCTGGGTGTGTCAACCAGTGAGTTAGATGGCAGAGCAGGGATTCAATCCCTAGTGTCCAGAAAAACAGTCCTGCACTAATCTACAATAACTCTCTCGACACCCCCAACTATACTGATAGCTAGCTTCAAACTGTGGTGGCCAGACAACAAACTTCCACAAAAGTGCTCAAAAGCCTTTAATATTCATAAATGCTATTTTAAAAATCACTATCTGGCCCTCGCGTTTGATCCAGGATTTCCTATGAAATGATCTACAGAGCAAAACCATTTTATTTAACACTGGTTTGAATCTGCATTAAATGGTCAGTGTAAATAGGTCCTAAGTTCTTTTACTTAAGAGAAAACATGAGACACAATTTTTATATCAATAAGAGATAGCTCGCAATCACCTGGTGCCCTCTAGATCAGGGATGGAAATGTTTCAACCTTCCAAATTGTTGCTGAACTGTTACTCCCAGCAATATAAGCAGGAATACAAAAAGCCACACCTGCAGAATCACATAATTCCCATCCCACTTTCTGATGTCTGAAACTACAACTCTTCAATATTATCTACCACAGCTCAACAAAAAAGGACAGTGTTCTCAGAATATGTGTATTTGGAGACTTTAGGCTATATAGGGAGTACACATGTGTCCAGAATGAATAACTCACCTTGTAAAAAGCACCAAATTATTCTTGCAAGTTCGTAGAACCCTGTTTTTATATTGCTTTTCCTAAATCTTTATCATTAGCCTGTCTTGAAGCAAACTTGTGCTACTACCTGGTACATTCAACATGCTCAGGATTTCAACCTCATGGCTCCCCCATGAGCCTTGGTAGCTGAGGATGATGGGAATTATAATCCAAATCCAGGCAGGAATTACCCCTCCCCACACACACACGGATACAAGGACCATCCTGTACTCCTGAGATCATTCAATGCAGATACTACATCTAAAAACTTCTCTATCTCACCCAAGTTCTGTTATCTGGGGAGACCCCCCTTTGTAGCATATCTCTTTGCATCTCCAATGCCCCCCTCCCCCATCCCAGCATACGTTTGGCCAGCTGCTTATATACAAGGCCTCTCCTTCCCCAGGCCTCTCCCTCTCACACAGCATGGCCTGGACAGATGGCAAGGGACTAAGGTTAAGCTGCTTGTATCCGGCCTCTGCCAATCAATTCTCCACGAGGGATTAGGGCTCCTTCTGGAAGCCCAAACTCCCAAGGCCTACACAGCAGGGGAGAAGAATCAGTTGCAGCAGGGCAGTATCCAACCAGGCCTGAAATGGCCATGTTTTTGCAGGGATATGAACACTCAGCCTCCTGGGAGGATTCAGTTCCAGAGACAGACCATATTGTCTCCTGGTCGGTTTTAAAGTGGCCAACTGCTTTTAATCCACAACAGGGCAAATATAGGGATGTTTCAAAGTTTACCAAAGAATCCTGAGGTTTGGTCTATGTGAAAGAAGAGCAATGGGAGTCTTATTAAAATAGATAAAATGAAACCATGTTGTGGTGGTAATATGACTCATGATTTTTAAGAGGGTCAACAAATTGTAGTTCTCAAGGCTGCTTCTAAAATCTTTTTCCTCCTCAAAACTAGCAGTAGACAGCTTGCCCTGTTATTATTGTGATGATTGCCACTTCTCAGATTTGTTTTTAGTTCTGGGAATTTTATGGCATCAAGTGTGGACTTTGTAGGGCCTCTTGAAGAGGAAAAATCTCCTACAGTTGCCCATCCCTGACCAAAGGCTATAGTTCTCAGAGAGGAGAAGAATTAGGCCCTGGGGCAGAAGTTCCTTTAAATACAAGGGCCATCCTATAAACAAAACAAGAATAGAAGCAAAAAACATAGACACCCAGTCCATGTTTTCCCCAAGGATTGCAAGTTTTAATCCTTTCCAAAAAAGATTCGTGTCAGAAGTGACTTGAGAAACCACAAGTCACTTCTGGTGTGAGGAAATGAAATTAAGAATTGGGCAAAGCTCTTCCTCTCATGTGCTGCAACTACTCAAGACAAAACAGCAGACGTAGGCAGGGTTATATAGGATAAACACAGTCCAGTGTGCAAAGGGAAGTTGTGAATAAGATGGAATGGGATTGGAAAAGGTCCCCAAAAGTTAGACCTGAATCTCTATACAGCCAATTTTAATCTATATTCCTATCACTGTAATACTTCACTATGTATCTTGTATGTGTTTTAATAGTGTTTATCTCTTGTTTTAATGATGTTGTGCCCAGCCTTGAGTCACAGGGAGAAGCAGGTAGTAAGTTTATTATATTATATTATGTGATTATTATTATTATTATTATTATTATTATTATTATTATTATTATTATTATTATTCCACTAGGGGCCCATCCCTAATCCCATTACAGCTGTGAATTTGAAAATGCCCCTGGAGGTGAGCCTTCTGACTCACCTGCAGGTTATCCAGGACCCAAAAAAAAACCCCTTACTGTTGTCCTAGATTTATTTAGAAAGAATAATTATTTAGATGCTTAGAATATTTTTTTCCCAGAAGCCAACCTGTTTTTTGGGGGGTAGACTTAAAAAGAGGAGAGATGTGCAGGAATGGGGAAATGTTACACCGAAGAACTAGGTTTTCTTCTAATGCTGGAATTGATATAATTAAGGGCAAATGTGATCCTGAACATAACCTTTACTACTGTTATAAGGGGGCTACATACTTTCCTAGACCAAGAAGCATCAAAAGCTATAGCAGCCCCACTTTAAAAAAAATCCTACACAATATCATGTCTAGAGCATGGCCCCAAATTCACAGGACTGGTATTTGTAACTTGGTTTCATGTATACACATCCAACAAAATATGGCCTCTCTAGACATTTTTTCAGGTCTTCCAGCATGACTGTATGATATTCCCAACCTGGAAGTCCTTCATTACAATAAGGCTTACTATTTTCCAAAGTTTGAGGGTATCCCCTTGGAAGTGCAGGATCTGGAGCTATACTGAATTTTGAGTCCCCCACTACCAATCCTTAAGCTAAAGAAGGGAAAGGTGTTCACTGAGGAAATATGTGTTTGAGTTGAAACAAAACTACGTAAGGGCTATGTAACACCCTTGCATTTGTATCAACAATTCCCTCCTTCATTAACCACCCCACCCATCCAAATCCTTCATTACTTCATTTCCTTTAAGACGAATCCAGCAGGGAAGAAAGAGGACCATCTGTCCATACCCCATTGAGAACATGAATAGTGTTAGGAGGGGGGGGGGGGAGAAGGAGAAGGAAGGCGTTCCCTTCTTAAGAGGCAGCAGAACTTTATCACAAGGTTCGGAGAAAACAGAAGTCCCTCCCAACCCTGTTGCCTTGGCCTCCCCCTTTAAGACCACAGCTGTGGGGACAAAATAAATTCCAAGCATTTTTCTATAGCAGGGTAATGGTTGACGGGAAGGACACAGGAGCCCGCTGGCCTCCCATCCACCCCTCTCTTATGCCCACAAAGGGACCTTGTTCAGAAGGAAAGAAGGCAGGATTGGAAAGGAGGAACACTAAGCAACTAAGCAGCATTGTCAAGCAAGATATTGATGTATCCTCTGTGAAATCTATTATCTTGCTGACAATGTCTGATCTCTTCTGACAAATCTAGCTTTCCAGGGTTTAGTGGATTTATTTTATTTTTCACTGCTCTAGAGACAGCAACTCAATTATCACTACCATAAAAAGTGTCAGGAACTTTTAGCTCCTGAGTGATTTTAGTCTAGTCTGCAAATGTTCTCTGCTAATAATACTAACTATAGATGGATTTACACTGTAGAATTAATGCAGGCTGAATCTCATTTAACTCCCATGGTGCAACACTATGGAATCGTGGCAATTGTCATTCAAAAGGGTCCTTAGCCTTTTCTGTCAAAGGAGTGTTGGTGCCTCACCAAACCACAAAACCTGGAATTCCATAGTATTAAGCCATGGCAGTTAAAGAGGTGTTAAACTGCATTGCTTCTACAGTGTAGACCAGGCATGGACAAACTTTTGCCCTTCAGGTGTTTTGGACTTCAACTCCCACAAATCCTCGCAGCTGGTAGGCTGTTAGGAATTGTGGGAGTTGAAGTCCAAGACACCTGGAGGGCCCAAGTTTGCCCATGCCTGGTGTAGACACATCCTATGGAAGGTGTCTAGATATTGAAATCAAGCTACACTGTCCAGGCAAGAAACCCATCCTATTGACCCTAGATGTGCATTGGGTTAATTCTCATGGTGATATACATGAAAATGTTCGTGCATATTTTCACCAACCAGCCCTCTCATTCTCCCTTTTGAATTCTTCAGCTAAGTTGAGTTTAATATTGAGCCTGATATTAAGCCAGTTACGCCCGTACCTTGAGAAGTTGGACTGGGCCACAGTGGTCCACACTCTAGTTATGTCCCATATAGATTACTGCAATGTGCTCTAAATGGGAATGCCTTTGAAGACTGTTTGGAAGCTTCAATTGGTCCAATGGGTGGCAGCCAGGTTGCTCACTGGAGTAGCAAACAGGGAGTATACAACCCCCATTAAGTCAGCTCCACTGGCTGCCAAGCCTGCTACCGAGCACAATTCAAAGAGCTGGCTTTAGCCTATAAAGCCCTGAACAGTTCCGGCCCAGTTTATCAGCCTGAATGAATCTTCTCCTATGAACCACTTTGGAGATTAAGATCATCTGGGGAAGC